TGTTGCTGAATTTTTAATTGTTGTTTTTATTCTTGTACCTCCTTCCCTTCTTATTGTTAGCCGCCCTGAGTCTCCCAGGAGTAAGGCGGCATACAAGCTAAATAAACCTAACCTAACCTAAGTGAGGCGTTGGGAGGGGACATTTGCAGGAAACCGTCTGAACTAGTAATTGAAGAAATCTGTCTGCATTCTAGCCGTGTCATGTGGATTATCTGAGTTGTTTCCTTAATTCTGGGTTACTGCCAAGCTATTATCTTGAACATGAGTTGCCTGGACCCTCAGCCAAAGGATTTGTTATTGCATTAATTAAATAGTGGCAAACAGCCAAGCCTGTGTTTTGGTTTATTCACAGGCCAGGGGGGTTCAGAACAGAACTCTATGCATGCCTGAAGGCAGTACTAGAAACAATGGGTGAAAACTAATCAAGGAGAGAAGCAACTCAGAATTAAGGAGAAGTTTCCTGATATTCCATTCTAATCCATTCCATTTCTAATTCTATTTCTGTTTCTATTCTATAGAGTCTTTAGTCTTCTGTTGCATTTATTGATAAATCTAACTCTTTCATACCAACATACATACAATTAACAAAAGCCTTTTTTGGGATATGTTAATTTGTTTAAATGTAAACTGAGGTGGGAAAGTCCAGATGAAGGAATAAGAAAACTGAGAAGGGCAATGAAGATCAATGGAAAAGGTTAGGGAAGATTTAAATCCATTTACACAGTACAGTAATCCTAAACTATTTATTGCTAGAACACATAAGCAGGGATAAACATACAGGTAATGATCAGGATCAAACTTGGCAGCTTCTGCTGCAAGTCGTTTTTCTCTGCGCTCAGATGCAGATGTTATATCTGGGCTTTTAACATCAACAACTTCATTAAGTTCATCCTGTAAAGAAAAGAACAAATCAATTAAGAATCACTGGCTAAAAAAAATAGCAAAAGCAAAACATACGTTCTATAGACTGAGTTTAGAAAGATGTACATCAAGATAATAAAGATGCTTTGGAAGTATAAATAATTCTTCATGAAAAGCAGTTAAATATTCTAAAACACAAACAGCTGAAAGAATAAACATTCTAGCAACAATACACATCTATCTAGCAAGAATACACATCTATCAATGAGCTGTACTCTTCAGTGCAACAAAAAACTTCAAAATAGTACTGGGACATCAGACTTAATGACTATATGATCAATATATTAGCCTCCTATTCCAAGTGGATACATTATTTTCCGTGCCTCACTAACCATGGATTAGGTTATCTTAATCTTTTTTAGTGGATACATATACATATAACTATTATTTGAGATTAGATCATAAGCAAGGCACTCAGTGGTGTAATCCAAAAATTCTCCCTACTGGTTCTGTGGGCGTGTCTTGGTGGTCATGCGACTGGGTAGGTGTGGCCAACTTGACATCACTCACTGTTAGATCCAGTAGCTGCACATTCTGAAGGACATTCTGCCCTTCTGAAGCCCCCAACGCTTTGAGTTCCCCTCCGCCATCTGGTATGACTATCCAAGAGAACCTCGGAGCCTTCTCTTGCCCC